CCTATACATTTATATGACTTTAATTTACTGGTCTTTTTATCTGATAACTTCGAAAATATGAAATCAGAGTAATTATTATTGCAATTTTGGATTGAATGTAAGTACCTCATGCATAAATAGATGTACAAATGACATGCACAAACGATTTTTATCACGAAAGAATATACTGTTGGAGATTGAATCCCAAAAGAGAAGGTTACATGTACATTCTTGAATATGATTTATGGCCTTTTATTTTCTTTGTTCTCATTTTCACGAGTAATATTAACATTGAACCATACAAAAGTGACCCTTTTTACTCATTATCTTTTGTTCTAATTACACATTTTACAAGTTATCTCTGTAGTACTTTTAATAAATTAACAAGTGTAACGTAACAGGGTGCAACTTCTTGACCCTTGACAACAATACTATCATCATCATCATCATCATCATCATCATCATCATCATCATCGACATTGTTAATTAATTAGCTAGCTAGTTGTTCATGGCATAGACTTTGATGGGTAAGCCGTCTCGGGGTACAGGGAATGGGCCGTATTGTATTCCATCTTCTCCTATCAATTCCCATCTACAATAATGAACGAAACTGTTATTAATGCGCAGAGTACAACTTACCACTTACGTGGAACCCATGTGACTGCGAATAGGTCAAAAACAAATCACGTTTCAGAGTTATATATAAGAAGTAGGTGACATGTGTGTGTGCATGCATGGATGCCACGTCTATATGGATCAGATGTCGAAACTAGTGATGGAGCTAGAAGGTTACTAATTACCTTCATTTTCTTTAAATTCGTGTAGTTAACATAAAATTACGAACTTGTTATCTTATAATTACATCCAAAATATATACTCGCCTGAGAGTGGTGGTGAGATGGTGGAGGAGGATGAGCATCTCGAGCTTAGCGAGATCGCTTCCGGGACAGGAGTGGGCGCCATTCCCGAATGGCATATACGTGTTTGGCAGAGGTGCAACCTACACAAAACCAATATCAGAGTCGTACATATATATATTATATATAAAATCGATCCAGATGCAGATTCGTATATAAATAACTTGTCCTTTTTTGAATACTTAAGGTGGATCCTACGTACGAAGAGACACATGTAACAGGCCAAAATCCAGCAGAAACCACCACCTTACACGCACTTAATTGCATGCAGCTCAAACACCTACTATACTCTAGTACAATACAATATCACCAGCTCACGTGATATGATACTCGAAAAGATTTCATTCTTTCATCTTTCTGCCATGCAATCATTCATATGTATGTCCACATATTTCATATATATACATACGGACATATATGGATGTTTATATATACAGTGTAATTGGAGTTTTTTATTTTTAGAAATTATTAAAAAATCACCTCGAATCTTGAAGGGTCGAATTTGTGAGGTTGAGGGAAGAACTCAGAGGTGTAATGGATGCTTCTGAAGAGTGGCAGGACTTTCCAACCCTTTGGTATCAAGTAGCCTTCCATCTCTACGTCTTCCACTGCTTCTCTGTATGTAAACGACAGTATACTGGCTGTTCTCAGGGTCTCTTGTATTACCTGAAGCCATTAATGTTAATTTCAAAATTACATATCAATTCAAGAACTATATATGTATCTATATATCTTTCATTAAATTTGCAATTTCTCTTGGATAATTTTGTGTTATCTTCGCATATATATAGACTATTGTCGTTGTTATATATATTGGAATGAATTGATGGTGTTGTCTCGGATGCATTTTATTTATCTTAATTGATTTTTTTATCTTCATTGAAAAGGATTAATTATTAGTTTGGACGTTTAATAAATAGTTGGACATAGTTTTTATTGAGCTACGTACCTATTAAGTTGTAATTTTTATCGGGTGAAAGAATGCAGAATTTTGGTTCAATATGAATTTTTGAGTTAATTAAATGTGTTTTACGTACATTTAACAGTAGAAACTAAATCCCTAATTAAACGTGTTTTAATTAAGGAGTGTTTTATAAATTAATAGCTATGATAAAATCGGGAAAATTTATAATATACCCGAGTAGTGAAAGGCATGCGTCTTGTATCATCCCACGTAATTCTACGATTGGCTTCAAGTATTTTGCACCGTATTTCTTCTTGTTCCCTCTGAATAGGTATACATTATTTGTTTATATACAATACATAATAAAATTAAATAGTTTTTTTTTTTATAGAACACAATTACAAAAGAGCGATAAGAGGGTACAAAAATAAAAGAGATACCCTGACAGCGTGGAGAACATTAGGACTATCATGCAAATATTTGAGGAGCCATGTTAGAACACTTGCAGTTGTATCATGGGCTGCAAATATCACCCCAATTATGTTATCTGCGATCTCTGATTCACTCAACTTCATCGTCATCTTCTTCTTCCCTTCATCTTCTTCATTTGACAATAATGCCCCTAACAGTCCTTCTCCCTTCTCCCCACTCCCCTTTCTTTTCTCTATCATCCTCTTTAATTTCTCATTGAGAGCCTTTCTTGCCTGTAAATTCAAACAACCACGGACATCCTTGGTTAACAGGAAAGATTAATTAATTTGTCTAGGGTTTCAACTCGAAATCGTTGATTTCTAGCGTTTGAAGTAAACGTTTTAGTAAACCTTTAGCTAGGGATCAAGGGCAATCTTGGAGTTTGACAAATCGTTGATTTCTAGCGTTTGAAGTAAACGTTTTATTATTTTACAAAATGGGGTACCTTCATTGCTTTGTTGAATGGGGTTCCAGGGAGATTCAAAGGCATGGAGTTGTATCCTTTCTCTAGACATTGATACAAAGGCTTTATTCCTTCCATCTCTGCCTCAGATTTGTTCCCAAAAACTGATATCATTGCCACTTCAAAAGCATACTATCAAAACAAACAAATGGTAAATGTTAGATCAAGAATAACTATATTTTAAATTTGTGGGTATTAATTATATAGTTAGATACGTTCGACGTAGACTCTTAGTTTCTAGCGCTAGCTAGCTATGTTTCTTCATGTATGTACATGTGAACATTTACTTGACAAAAACTAAAATCAACAATGTCTTAACCAAATAATTTTGTAAAGTGTGATTACGGGTCATATTTAATTAATTACTTGGCATGTAAAACTAGAATACAAGAAAACGTATTAAACAAATAACTTCATAAAAACTCATTATTGACAACGCCAGAAGTGTCACATTTTCAATTCTCCGATAGAAACGATTGTTTTTTTTTTTTTCTTTTTTTTTTCTCTTGTGTACATAAAACCATATATAATTCAACATAGTATATAGATATATACCTTTTTCATCTCATGCAAGGTGTTGATGGTGTTATTATGTTCCCAAGTGGGGAGAAACCCAAGGACGATATCTTCGATCTGGGAAACAGAGCCTTTGATAGTAGATGGAAGAAACGACGACTGGATCAACTTCTTGAGATGCGAATGGTATGGACCTTGGTGAAAGAAGATGGCTTCTGGGCCTATCATCTTCTCTTTGCTAGGTGGGTAGGTGGGTTTGAACATATGAGACTGAGTCACCAACACGATCTTTGCTACTTTAGGACTCGATATCATCACACAAGGGCATCCCAATATGTGCGTCTTGAATATTTTCCCATACCTGAAAGTTTAAATATCATCGTTTTTATTCTCTAGAGAGATTAATTATTGATGTAAAATTATCAAATATCTATACTAAACTTTATTCCTTATCGATATCATGTCTTTATTTGCTCATATGTATGGCTTTCAAAACAACATCGTTTGAACAGGTTACATGTGTCATCTGTCAAAATTGACACCAAAACCGACGGGCTTTTTTTCTTTTTCATAATAAAAATGACAAATATATTTTACATGAAAATACATAAACGTTTTCCGTGATTTTAAAAGAAAGAAATGATTTTGAACGAACAGAAGTCAATAAAATAGTAAACCTTTTTTCACGGTTGGAGAAGAAGGAATTCGGGTTTTCAGTGAAGAGCTTGAGAGTTTCACCTATATAAGGCCAACCCATTGAACCTGGCGGCAGCCGGAGTTTCTCCGGTTGGGTCCGGTAGCGGCTCCTCCGTATGACCTTATATACAAGTATCAACAAGAAAAGCAACGGTATAAGTGAAAAAAGAGGTGGCGGTGGAGGATGAGTATTGGTGGGCAGTGATACGATTGAGGTGGGTGAAGGAAGCATGATTGTTTTACGGTGACCGGAGAACGAAGTTTAAATTCGGAAATAAATGATGGGGGTCGAGCTTTAAGTTAGAGGAACTGGAAGTTGGTTTGATGAAGTTGAGGGATGGGATAATGACATTATATAGAGGAAGAGGGGAAGGGGAGTCATATCAAAGATTTTATTAATATATTAAATATATATGATATGTTTTTGAAAATTAAAACCCTTTTCAAGATTTAAGTTTCATTTTGTTTTATTTTGAATGGTTGGAGTTTTCATTTTCCAAATCAAATAAAATTTAGTGACATATCCAACCAATTATTAAGCTAGCGTCATGTTTTTATTTATGTCCAAACATTCCGGAGTTCTCAGCTTCTCTTTTTTGGTGGCTGACTATCAAAGTGGAGAATTGGAGATACTCTCTTCGTCGACGATCTTATATATCTCTCTTATATTACTGGTAAGAAAATGGCACATACAACCTATTAAGTTTCTAGAATTTACCCTTTTGATCACTAAAGTTTTTTAGTGGCTTTATGAGGGAACATACTTTATTTTGTAGGGTTAATTTCGTCATTATGTCAATTGTGAAGGGTCAGCCGGTCATATTTCTGCCACATGTTTTACTTAAACCCCTTGCGTTGCTGTCTGTGTATGTCATGTCATTTACTAATAGTTTAACTTAAATGAGATATTTTCCTATCTATTGTTCACCATTCACCACTTCTAGCTTGTTTGATAAACCCTCATTTTCGTTCTGTCTCTTGAAACCTCAAACATGGATCCTATATTCATCCAAGTCGATGTGCATTTCCAAGGAATCTTTGCAAAATACCCCATATGCTACACCTGGGGATTACTCAGAGGTTATCAAACATTGATTTCGCAAGCATGGACAAGATCGGGTGTTATGAATTTATCGAAATGTTCATTGGAGAAATGTGTGTGAAGCTCTATTACTGCCAACCAGATATTTATTTTCCCAAAGGTCTGACCTTAATTTCGAATGAGTTGGATTATGCCGATTTTATAGCAATAACGTATGAATGTGGTGTTATACTGCCTATGTATGTAGACCATTTTGGTAATACTAACATGCAGGAATGGTTGGAAGAACACAAAGAAGAGGTAGTTGATAACATAGTGGAAGAAGTTCTTGATGGTGCGGGACTAGTTAAAGAAATTGAGACAGGCCATTTGGATGACAAGGGTGAAAATGAAAATGAAAATGAGGATGAGGATGGCCATGGTGCTGATGATGTGGATGCCGATGAAGATGAGGATAACCATAGCAACTCTAATTTTATCAAAAAGGATAATGGCCCTGATGTCAAAATGGGTGACAATGCAGCTTTGGGGGGGGGGGGGGGCTTTAGAAGAAGCAATGGATGAGGATGAAGATGTTTATCCTCGGTTACCAAATATTTTCAATGAAAAGCTTCACTAGAAGGAGCAGTAACTTGTGTTAGGTATGAAGTTTGAGAGTCCTAAACAATTGGAACACATGCTCTATAACTATGTTGTTGCAAATGGTTATCAATTATGTTTTGTGAAAAATGATAGTAGACAGTTGCTAGCCAAATGTTGTGATGAAAAATGTACATTAAGGGTTTGGGGTTCATGGATGAGTGATGATAAGTCTTTCCAAATTAGGTCTCTTATTAGTGAGCACAATTGTTCAAAGAATTTCAAATTCGGATCAATTGTAACTTATAAATGGATAGGTGCCCACTTTACCCAACAATTTTTCAACAATCAGAAAATAAGTGTGAGATTACTAAAAGAGGATGTGAAAACCACTTTTGGCATTGTTGTAAGTATGAGTCAGTGCAGGAGAGCCAAGAAGTACGCATTGAGTCTAGTTGAAGGCACGGTTGCAAAAAGACTATGCTAGAATATGGTCTTACGGTGAGGAGATTAAAAGATCAAATCCTGGATCCACTGTTAAAATTTATGTGGATACAATGCCTGATGGTAATAATTACTTCAACAAGATTTACATATGTTTTGATGCAGCCAAAAAAGGGTGGCATGGAGGGTGTAGATAGATCATTAACTTAGATGGTTGTTTCTTGAAAACTTTTTGCTAAGGGAGTTTTTGTGACATCCCCATTTTCACGGCCAGAAAAGACCGATTTTGTTTATGCTTTATAAAAATCAGAGTTCTTCTTTTAATAAAAATGTTGCGGAATTTGTTCCCAGGAAAACATGATAAATACATTATTAAAACATTTTCGAAGAAACATATTTATTCGTTTTAAAACGTTTGGGATGTCATCGTTAATACAGAAACATAAGCATAAACAGAACTTACAATTATTTACTCTAGTGATCTACGTCTCTTTAAATCTCTCAGTGTAATGTGACTTCATATCAACACCTGTGATATAAATAAACTGAGTGGGTCAGGTTGGGAAACCTGGTGAGTACATAGGGTTTTCAACCCACAATAATATAATTATTATGTTTAAACAATCAAACAATCATCCTAATTACCCATTCCCGTTATCCTCACATTACGTCCCTAAAACATCTAACACAAGGGACCTAGTCAAAGGACTATCATTGGGATGGACACTACTGCTAAGGGGATTCTTTGGCAATGAAAGTCCTAAAGACAACCATATGGGGGATGGAGTACACCTGGTGAGCACACAGTTCACACAGTTTGAAAAAACACACAGCTCGAATAAACACACAGTTCAAATAAACACACAGTTCGAATAAACACCTACAGGTTGCGAGCCTGCTAGTGTTCCACTCGACTGTCTAGAATAGTCCGTGGTCGTCATCTATACTCTGCTAGATGACTAGATCATCAAGAACAGCTATAACGAGGCCTCTCATTATTTTATTTTGTCACACAACAACTATTACATTTACCCATGTTTTACCCAACACATTTTGTAGATATAAAATACATATACAATTTAAATCATTGAAAACATGTATAAAACGTTCATCCAGCATAGATAGCAAGTATACAGATAATATACACACACAACACGTAATTTATATAAAATACTTCATATCTATGTGTAAGCTGAAAGTGACTATGCACTCACTTGAAAGGTGAGGACTCAGCACTCGGACATCGCTTCGATACTCTCAAAACGATATTCCTTCGATAAAACCTAGTACCAATACCACTAGGGTTTAGTATAACGATAACCGCGACAAATTAATTGTCTGACTATTATTATTATTATATAAGCGTTAATAACACTCAATATAACTCGTAATAATAGCCCAAATAATTATTTTAAGGACCTAATAACATTCATATAATTATTGGAAAACTATATTAAAAATTGTGTAAGCGTAGCACACTTACAACGAATTTTATCGAAAATCGGAACTTAATTGGAGCAGCGTTTCGAAACCGAAAAACTCCTTTTTCTCGGGACTCCGGGAGCCTCGGAGCTTCCTTAGGGTGCTAGGGGTTCACCTAGATTTTAGGGAGGGCTCAAAACCCTAGAGAGAGAAATATTTTAAAGAGAGAATGAGAAATGGTGTGAAAAATCCGGAGACCCTCGCCCCCTTTTATAGCCTGCGAGCCTCAGACTACGCTGGGCGTAATCCTTGGCTACGTGGGGTGTAACTTCGGATAGGGCGGAGAGATGGCACGCTTCGGGTGGAGCGACGTGGCTCAAGCTGGACCGAGGAGCGCTAGGCGTACGCTGCGCATACGAGACTGAACGGTGGGCGTAGCGAGGGGGGCTACGTGTCACGATCTGAGGTGACTTCAGCGATTATTATTGGACGGCTGGGAAAGCGCCACGTCAGCGACTTCGTATCAGATTTTGCAATTTGCACACTCAACTTTAAAAATTCATAACTTTCGCATACGAGCTCCGTTTTCGACGTTCTTTATATCCACGCGAAGGTGGGAGCGTACTCTACAACTTTCATTTAGACTTCGTCGGCTAGTTTTGACTTGATTTTAAATTTTATATTATTAACAGACCGATACAAGATTGGTCCGTTAAATTCTCATAACTTCTTCATCCAACATCCGTTTTCGCCCATCTTTTTCTCGTTACGCTAATTTTATCGAGATCTTCGATTCTCGTTTAGGTCGTGTCGGCTAAAAACCGCTTGATCTAATATTCGAATTTCGGGCTGTACATTGCTAATCCGAAACTTCGAAAAATCATAACTTCTTCGTACGAAGTCAGATTTGGGCGTTCTTTTTATCGATGTTCTTAGATTAACATATTCTACGACTTTCATTTAGATGGCTAAGGGTAAATCTCGCTCTATCGTAAATTCACTATTTACGCTTCCCGGTATCGTGCCGGTTCCGTCGCGAAACTTCGACGGGTCATAACTTCTTCATTATAACTCGGATTTCGGCGTTCTTTATATGCACGGAAACCTTGTGACACATTCTACAACTTGGTTAAGATTATTTATTATAAATAGTCTTGTGTCGAAAAGTTGTTTTCGATCCCTATTGCCTCTAAATTGACTAGCCCGGATCTACAGGCGTTACAATTAACTCGCCCTTAGGATGATTACGTCCCGTAATCATCAACGAAACAGGGCTCGTATAATTACTCCATACGTCGTCTCTTTATCCTAGGTAATAATTATAACTTCTATATTCCTTCAAGTCTATCTCTTAGACTCATTGACTGTAAGCGGTACTCGATCGCGCACATGCACTCTACCTCAGATTAGACTCCAGATTATGATCTATCATCATATGATGCACGTTTAGACTCAGGTCTCTTAGAGCCAAATTCTAAAACATACTATGCCTTCCTTCATGTTCTAATGTGATATAATCACACCTTAACATGTAGCATTTCTAGCTACCAACTTCTTTAACAACGAGCGCGATATTTCTATCGCTTTGATTTCAATCGTTTGGTTTAAGTCGGACGCTACATCAAACTTGGTTTTTTCAGAACCACGTAACCTACTCATCGTAGTCGGACTCAATGGGATATGACCACCAGGGTCGGGATAACAACAATCTTCTTAGTCATTACCGAAACAATGGTAATGACATACTTGAATAAAATGAAATCAATTACTAGCTTCTTGGTAACCTTGTGACTTTCCTTGATCCAAGTGTGAGTCATGTGCTTCCGGTAGTATAGGCCTCTACTACCATTCACACCTACTCATACTTGTCCCAAGTATTGTCCCACAGTTTCCCAAGTCACCATGCAGCAAATCACACTATCATTCAACACATCACATAACAAAACGAAGGTTTTATTTTATTACTTGAAACGATTACATGGGTGTTCAAGTTTACCCTAGATTATGCCTCTAATAGGCTACATCATGTGACACTATCTATATGGCTTCTTCATAACTCGATATCTATATATCCATCCTTACTCCTAATTCCTTGCATCGTTAGCTGCTTCATCAAGGATCATTTGAAATGCTCTTGCCTTTGGTTTTGGCGGCACATTTGGCTTTGTAGCCCCTTCTCTCTTTGGGCAATCTTGTTTGAAGTGCCCTTCCTCGTTACATTCGTAACACACCCTTTTGTTGAATTTACACTCGTTAGCATAATGCCCATGCTTCCCACACTTGAAACAAGTCACCTCCTCACCGTATTTTCCAGAGTGTTTCTTTTTGCACTTCTCACACCATCTTTCTTCACTCCCTCCTCCTCTAAACTTCCTTGTACTGGACTTTCTTTTCTCATCGGGCTTCGCAGACCCCTCAAACTTTCTCTTTTTGCCAACCTCGGTCTTGTTAGCGGCTCTTCCCTTGATCATCTCCTCAACCGACTTGGCATCCTAGATAGCTGCCTCCAAGGTAGGTGCCTGACGCACTGGCACCGCATACTCCCATGGAAGTCCTTTTGCATACTTGTCAACTTTCGTCAGCTCATCCGGAACAAGACGTAATGCGAATTCCATCTTCTCTGTGAAGTTGTTGGTGCATTCATCAACAGACATGCTTCCTTTCTTCAAGGTAAGGAATTGGTTTTCTAGATCGAGCAGATTTTGGGCTGAGTAGTACCTACGTTTGAATTGCACCAGAAATTCTGCCTATGTCAGTTGCAGGGGCTCAGAGTCTTCCCCAAGGTATTCCACCAACGTACCGCACCTCCTCGAAACTGACGCACTGCAAATGTGGTCTGTTGTTTTCCCTTGCAACCTGTCACACCCCGAAACCGAAGGCGGAAACGTCCCGGGGCAGAGGTGACTTCATGTGAATATCATAACCAATGTACATAGTAAGCGAAGTAAAATACAAAACATTACATTACATAGATTTCATTTCATCAGTTGAAAAGTAAAGTGTTACAAGTTTTCCTAGATACATAAGTTTAAATAAAACAAAGACGTAACTTCCATTCGCTCCGTCTCCTGCAAAAGGACGCGAGGTACCTATCTAAGTAGAACCTGAGAATACAAGCA